TCGTATATCGCCATTCAACTTAAAAATGTCGAGATATTATTTTTGGTTCATATCGCCCAGCCCTATTACAGAGCATACGATTTCTGGTTAGCTTCTTAGCTTAGCCTCTTTCACAGCGACATACATCGCGGCAAACTGATCCAATCATTTTAAACTTCAGCAGAGGCCACGCCTCCAGCAAGAATCGCTTCTCTATAGCCGAGAGTCCAGACCCTCGTACGAAGCAAAGTGAAGGATAGGGGTCTGGTTTTTACCAGGCTACTAAATTTCTAAATTCTGCGATTATTCATTTGTTACATTATTTTTCGGTCAGTTCGGTTAATAAATATGGTTAGAATGAAAATGTGGAATTTAGGAAAAACTAGAGGTGCACTGATAAAACAGCCAGCCAATTTCTTGGCATGATTTTCTTAATTTTGGGAGATTGAAGATCTGTGGAAAAGATTGTCTTCTCATCTGCCTCCACAAAGATCTGAAAATCAGCCACTGTCCACTTTTGCTCTGCTGTGAGCACTATCTCATGTCTAGTTACAAGTTTGTGTTGTTTCAAGGGTACTGTTCAATGTTTTTCAGTAGAATAAGATTGGAACATTGAAGGTGCATTGTGAATTGTAAAGAATTAGAAGTTAAAGATATTTTTATTTACATTTTAAATAGAATAAATCATTTCAGACACATAACAAAGAACTGCTAAATGTAACCCAGAGATTACTGAAAGGATGTGGTTCTAAAATTAGTAAAATATCATGATTTAAAGTTGTGTTGTTTGCAAACAACAGCAGGAGAAATACAAAAGGAAATACAGCCCCAGACTAAAGTTTGTAAGAGTGTGTGGACCAGTATGTCAGAATCAATTATGTATGTGAGGTAGCACGGACACAGCCAAGGAGTCTCACCTGCTACATTCAATAAGGGTGACTTTGAGTCTGCCTTCCACCAGCTTGCTGTCCTGTACCGACAGGTCCAAATCAGTGGCTGAACCCAACGGAGGCTGTACTTGGAAGGGGAAGAAGGGTTTGTATCTGCAGAGAGAACCAGAAAACATCTTTACCATCTGAGAGATTAAACCTGAGAATTTATTTCAGTTTATTACAAATAACAGAGTTATCTAAGGCAACTGTACAGAGTGAGCTCACAGGTCCTGTTCAAAACCAAATCAATCCAATTCTATCCAGTAAGGATTCAGTCCAATACAGTCAGATTCAGTGCTGACAGGTGGACTACATCAGACTGAAGAGTGTAAGCAGCTGAAATGGTTAGAATACAGGTCAGTCTCTGACTGCTGTGTTCAGGTGTGGTTCATGTGTAAGAACTGGACTTAACTAAATAAAGAGTCATTCTAACAATACATGTCTGACAGGACACACACAGCCTTAGCCATCTTGGACTGCTTTAAATTTGTTCAGACAAATCCTCCCCATTAATCATGACCCCGTCTACAGAAGTGCTCTGATAAGATACAGTATGCTCACGTCATCACATATTTAAAGTAAAACCTTCAAAAACAGTCAATTTTCCACTTAAGGAAGCAAAAAACTCTCAGATAAACAATTCTTGTGTTTGTGTTACTCAACATTTTTTCCAGAAACTAGTCATTTTTTGTACTGAACACAATAAATTCTACACATATTTTTAGCACTTTTTTGTTCAAACTACCTGTTTCTACAGGGGGAAAAAACAGCTCAAATGTGAAAAGTATACTTTAAATTATTAATTTTAGAACAATTTAATTTTCTCTGTTTTTAAATA